CATTGAATAAGTGTCTACACACCAAGGTCATTGGAGGGAGGAAATAAATTTACGCCAGGCGCACGGCGCAAGCAAACCCCCCGGGGAAGTTAAATGGTAAAGCGTGTGTCTTAGCGGAGGCCCTGAGAATGGATAAACAATAGGCGCTTGAAACTGTAGAAAGTTGATGGATGCGACCCAGGCGCGGGTGTGTTTTGCTCATAGTTAGGCACTCACTTGTGAGCACCTAACTGGGGGGCAATTGTTGGGGAAGTATGGATAAGCCCACCGAAGGAGAAGGTCCAATGGGCCTGAAGCCCATTAAAGGCCTGATGTGGCATGGCCTGGTTTGGTGCCAACGGCGAGGGGGCGCATGACGACAAAAGAGGCTTGTGGACAAATGAGTACGACAGGTGAAAGTCGGAAAAGCACCACGTAGACAGGTGGTCCCCCCTTGCGCCCCGATGCGAGGACCAGGGAATGCGCCACGTGTAGGAGCTTAGACGTTGGATCAGAACAGGCATTTAGTGCCCTTTGACGTAAGGCTGCTCGGCAGGAGTTGGTCGGGGCTTGGTCGGAAGCTCGAGTAGTATAAATATTCCCGGTAGGTGGCATTTAAGCAGGTCGGCTTCTCTCACTAAAATCATTTATATCACTTATCTCTCTTGAATTGCGGCTAACTTGGTCGTCAGAGTGCTAACGGGCATATCCAAGCCCTCTAGGCACTTGTCGTTGCAGGGTCCGGGCGCCTATAGAGAAGAGAGAAGCTTCGTCACGTCACTTTCGGTGGGGCCAGAGTATCTTGGCTCAAACACTTATGAATTTAATTTGATTGAATGAGATAAACTCTAGCGACATGATTTATTATTCACTTAGTTCAATATAGATTATAATGTTTGTATTGAACCAATTTATTCTTAGTTTATTATTGCGAGTTTTCAACTGAAGTCGGTCTCTTAATCACTTATACGTTTAGTGTAGTTCACGCTAGGTGGCAAATGGATTGATCCATGAATTGGTGGATTGGATTGGTGGATCCATGGATCAAATGGATTGGTGGATTCATGGATTGGATCAAGTGGATTGGTGGATTATCCATGAATCCAAAGGACATCCTCAACCAAGGACCAACATGTTAAATATGAAAAGTTTAGGTACTAAAATATCATAATGAAAAATTTTAGGTACCAAAATGTAAAATATAAAAAGTATAGGTACCAAATCGTAATTTGTCAATTGGATCAAATGAATTAGATTTAAATGGATTGGATTAGGTGGATATTTTTAATGGGTTGATGGATTAGATTGAAAATTGTCACCTCTACTAGGAATCCATATTTCATGATATAACGTACGAGGATATAATAAGAGACAGATCAGGTTACTGAAAGGCAGACGTACAACCTCCAAATTGAGGTGAAACTTGATACGAACATTAATTCACAAGCCATGCCAATGCACTAACTAGTTAGTGTAAGACCAATTAGAATCCTGAGTGTATTACGGCTAGTTGGAAATCATGGTGTTCACTCTAAATTGGGAATTTCTACCGTCACAGAAATAACATTATATATGTGTGTTGTGTCGTATTGATATACGATATATAAACAGCTAGGGGGACCTCGAGTTTGTATCACACTTGGACTCTTGCTTGCAAGCATATACTTCGGTTGATTACTTATTTAATTTCTTTTAGTAGTTAATTTAGTTTATTGGATAATAGTAGCATACCTTATTATTATCAAGTCATATATACACTTGCTTTAGTTTTCTTGCACTAGCAAGCGATCGATATCGACTCATCGGAGATTTAGGTAGAATTTCAAGCAAGTGACGTCGCAGTGGGAGGGTGGGTGGGTCTTGTTGGAAGAAGAAGAAGAAGAAGAAGAAGGCGCGCTCTTCATATTGGTCGGGCGCAGTGATCAATTTGTTGGCCGCCGGGCAGAGAAGACGCGTGGAATGCGTCTTCTTTGGTTGACTACATAATATATGAAATTTCTCCTAGCTACTACCACTGCCGTTGCAATCATAATGATCATCTGTTTAGTTGAATCAAATTAAGGATTCGCTTCAGTCAGTCGCTGTAATTAATGGTGTTTGGTTGGCTTGATTGCTTGATCTGGAATTTATCTTCCAGGAAGCCATCGGCTGGGCTCAATTGCTTTCTTCTCTCATTTTATTTTACAGCAATTTATTATCGATCTTAATATATGCATGCATGGAAATGGAATGAATTCAAGAAGCCATCAGCTGGTTATTATTTACTTAATCTTCGTAACTGTTGAGTTTCTTGCGGCACTATTCCAACTAAGATGACCAATTGATTCAGGGGATCATATGAACTCGGGACGAGTTAGGGTGCTAACTTTATATGCGTTAGCACCGTGCTAACTAGTCTAATTACCGTTCAAAATATATTTTAAATCTGATGGTTAGTAATAACGAGGGGCTTATTTGGTATTTCTCAAATTTAATAAATAAATTTAATTTTAAAATTTATCTCCGGTCATTTTAATAAAGATTTTCAACGCGAAAAAATTACTCAGAAAATTATTACTACTTATATTAATAGTTATTTTTGTGGATTATAGCAGTAATTTTATATTTATTAGAAATTTTGCAGTAGTAGTAATTGATGAATATTATAAAGTAATGACAACATATTCATTCTTAGTATGAAAAGTAATCCGTAACAGTGTTTACAAATGATAAAAAGACTACGAACAATGAATCACAGTGAAAGCAAACACTACTTATACCTAATACCTTATCACTACTACACAAACACAATCACTACTTGAAGAACATTACTAACAACGAATCACATAAAAAAACCCAGTACAATCACTAGCTACTAAAAAAGTATTACACAATTGTTCCATCACAACGGCTTCGTTTGTTGTTGGATCAACCAGGCCAGATCCATCACAATATCCAGATCCCTCCCTCGTCGCCTACCTTCTCCATTGTTGTTTGAGGCCCTCGCCGCCTGCCTCCTCCATGTCCATCGTCGACCCCGTGACCAAGTCGCTGCTAGGGGGGGAAAGAGAGTCTTCAGATCTAACACTTCCTCCGTCGACTCCATCGCCATTGCCACCTACCTTTTCAATCATTGTCGACACGCTCGCCGCTGCCTGCCTCCTCCATCCCCATTGATGACCCGTGACGATGCCCAACGTAACGTTGGCGGAGAAAAGAGAGAATAATGGTTGGGGGACTTGGGAGGGTTTCTGAAAGGGAAAAGGGAGGCGACAGACAGTTTCATATAGAGGCGGCCAAAAAATTAATATTTACTAGGGTTCGAAGTGAATTTGACCTAATTATCCTTTATAAGATTTTAACCCTAGGATTAAAATTAGATCTAACGTTTAGAAGCTCAGTTAGTATGGTACTAACCCCTTAAGGGGTTAGCACCGGGACTAGATAGTGTGACAACACCCCTTGTGTTGTTATTATAACAACACTAGGGTTGTGATGACTTTTTATTAAATGAGTTGACCTAGTGTAAAATCAAAGCAGGGGTATAATTGTCATTATGAAAAATATGTTTAGATAATTATAAAAATTCAAAATTCAAAAAATTAATTTTTTTCTGCCAAAAATTTTGGTCGCGGAATTCGGCTGACGGTCGCGGAATCTGGTCGTTGGTCACCGGAATATGCTTTTTGTCGTCGGAATATGCTCACTGTGATCGGAATATGCTTACCGGCGTCGGAATCTAGTCATCGGGGCCGGAATATGCCTATCGGCGCCGGAATCCGGTCACTGATTGTCATCGGAGTTTGGTCAACGATTTTCGTTGACCGGTCAACGATCACCGGATGTTATGGTTAGCATTGTGAGATTTATGGTTTGGTTTCTCATATTTTTTATGCCTTTTGTGGTTTGCTTTATCGTGTTTCTGGTTTGCATTGAGAAGTTTCTCGTTTGCTTTCAAAAACTTTGTGGTTTGCATTGTGAAGTTATTGATTTGTTTTAGTATATTTGTGGTATGCATTAGGACGTTTATGGTTTGCTTTTTTGTGGTTTGATTTACTGTGTTTGTGGTTTGCATTATGAGGTTTCTAGTGTGCTTTCGCAAATGTTGTGGTTTGCATTGTGGGGTTTCTAGTTTGTTTTAGGAGATTTGTGGTATGCATTAGGAGGTTTCTGGTTTGCATTAAGAAGTTTCTGGTGTGGTTTGAAACTTTTGTGGTTTGCTTTGCGAGATTTATGGTTTGTTTTAATATATTTGTGTTTTGTTTTGCGAGGTTTCTGGTTTGTTTAAATATATTTGTGGTCTGCATTAGGACGTTTTTGGTTTGCATTATCGTGTTTGTGGTGTGCATTAGAGGATTTCTGGTGTGCTTTTCAAAATATTTATGGTTTGTTTTGTGAGATTTCTGGTTTGTTTTAGAGAATTTGTGGCATGCATTGAGAGGTTTCTGGTATGTTTTTTTGTTATTTGTTTTATCATACTTATTGTCTGCATTAGAAGGTTTCTGGTGTGCATTAGAAATATTTGTGGTTTGTTTTGTAAGTTTTCTGGTATGTTTTAGGCAATTTGTGTTCTGCTTTGGGATGTTTCTAGTTAGATTTTTGTGGTTTGTTTTACCGTCTTTATGGCTTGTATTAAGAGGTTTCTAGTATGCTTTCTCATAACACATAAATTAATAATGTTTAGGTCATTGCCACTCTCAGTTCTAGTACTAGCGTTGAAATGACAATTACATACGGATATTCACCAAAATACCTATATACGTAACAAAGTCATATTCCTATAGCTACTAACTAAAACAACAAGCACATTAATTCTCTTTAAGACGGGAATACTAAGAAACAACCTACTGGTGCATTAAGGATGAATAATAGGTGATGAGTTTTTGGACACATCACCAAGATACATTGCAGAGAGATGATTGCCATCTCATCCACTACCAATTAACAACGATGAAACAAATTAACAACAAAAAGAAATCAGACGAAGGAAGGAAGGGATAAGGGAGGGGCCGGGATTGGGAAGAATAAACAAATTAACAAATTCACTCCCTTCTTCCATCTCTTTTTTTGGCCGCGCTGAATAAGGTAGACAACCTCTTTCTCCAGGGATCGAATTTCACGAGTCTGTTGAACAGCTGTGAGTCTGTAAACAGCCTATAAACAGGGAAGAGTTGAAATTGCGGGAGAAGGAAGCTGCACAGATGGTGAGGGAAAGCAAGGCGGAGGAGGACAAACGAGATCTGAATTTTTTTGTTCCAGCAGGAGATGGGCGATGTAGGTCCAGTCGTCGAGGAGGTTGGAGTTGGAGCGCTCTTCTCGCGGTTAGTCGACGGCGAAGCAGGAAGTGAGAGAAGAGGAACCTGATTTTTCGCCGCCGCCGCTACAGTTGTTGTGATGGATTGCGCTCCGACGGAGGATGGGGATAGACGGAGTGGAGGTGTTCGAGGTGGAGAATGGGGGATGGTTTCCATTGGAGGAGAAATACCGCGGCGGAAGAGCGGGGGGCGGAGGAAGACGCATGTGATAATGATTTGATTTTTTTTTATTATTTAATTGTAATTTTACTATGTTGCCCTTGTTGTTACAGTAACAACAAATAGGCTGTTTTTATACTATCCGCACCCGTTAGCACCTAATCTCATTTCTATGAACTCGATCAAGAACTAACGATTATATTAATTGTTGGATTAATATAATAAAATATCCAACATTTACATTCTACTAGATTTAGGCTCACCTGTTGACCGAATATATATATTTCGTAAATAGCATATATACCGACAACAATTGTACAAAACAATCTATATTTCTATTTGGTACCATAAAATAATCAAAATGATCGATTTAAAAATAAACATATATCATAGAATTTTCTGACATACTAATATATGCATAAAAGAAAGTCTTTACTTAAAGTAAAAAACTGAACTCATTCAAGGGAATTGACTCTTAAAAAGCACAAGAAAACCACACTTAGATTTACTCCTTGACTTATTTTGACTCTTAAAAATTTCATTTTGACTTATTTTCAATTGCTCCACCATTAGCAACATAGTCTCTTTCTTTTTCTCTTGCATTACATTAATTACAAATCTTAAATTTCATCTTCCTTGATGAAATCAAGCTTATAAGTGGCCAAAAAATCTACGAAAGCTTTGAATGTAGTATTTGATTCGATCGCTTAGCTAACGACAGCCACCTTATTTTTTTTAGGCATTCCATATTTATTATTTATAAGATCTACAGATAACTTCAGTTTGGTATGTTATAAAACGAACAAAAATACAAGTCTATTGGCAATGCCATTACACGAATGAGATTTACGTGTATTCTTGTGGTACAAAAATAATACTACAATGATTTCAGTTTTACTCCATCTAGATACAAAAAATATACCCAAATTCCACACCATATTGGTGTAATTATGTATCATTGTCGTAAAATAGTCTAAAACATGATTGTGGACATAGTTTTGGAAAGATAATTTTTTATTTTAAACCATATTAAAATTGATATCATTTTGTAAATCAAGTTAATTTTTTTTAATATGTAAATTTGAAATTGAAATGAAATAGGAACATGCCATTTAGTAATAATATGGTATTGAAATTAAGGAGAGAGTGCTAAGTGGCACGCTCTAATTATATGCATAAACATTGTAATAAAAATTATTTTCTTTGGTTTTTTGTTTTGTTAAATAATTTATTAAATAAAATATATAATAATTAATTGTGACGATGAAGATTGATAATTAAGTCCCTTTAGCTTATCAAAATTATTTAATTAAGGAAGAACTTGTTTTTGTATGGCCAAAAAAAAAAAGAAGGAAGAACTTGTTTTTAGAGCGATAGCTAGCTAGCTAATTGACATGAAAAAAATTACAGCAATTTAGGGTTCAAGCGTAGAGTGTTTATTATTTTTATTAATAATTGACATGAAAAAAATTATCCTTCTTGAATTTTTTGGCGAGCTAAAAAAACTGAAATTAATTATGTTCTGATAGAGAATCTCTATAAAGAAGTGGTAGGATGTACTAATTATCCATTTTTTATGATAATTAATTCTAAATGAGAGGGGTGGCTAAACATTACCCAAATTTCTAATAAGTGTTTATGCATGCCTTTCTGTTTGGGTATAGGTAGGGGTGAGCAGTGTGTGGGTTTATGCGAATTTGGGTGGATTTGGACTCATCCATTACATGGTGAATGAAGGAAAAAATGATCCACACCCATCCAACACGTACTTGTGGTGGGTTGGGTTGGATTGGGTGATTGCGGATGGTGTGCGGTTGGGTGAATTTGGTGGATTTATAACATATATTCCAAAATTTAATCCACTCGCACCCACCCAAACCTTTGTGGGTCACCTATTTTAAAACTTACACTCACCCATATAAACCACCCACAACATAATGGTTGGGTCATTTGTGGGTGGTTTTGGGTGGATTGATGGGTTCAACCACCAATGCTCACCCTTAAGACTGGGTTAAAGCTCACAACATGGAATTAGCTAAGTTAAAAGAAACAAGTATCAACAATGAACACATATTTAAAACTAAGATGCTTGTAATTAGTAATTAGTACATAAGTTCCGAAAACACAACGAGAACAACAGTTGGAATGGGTAGATGCTGAAAATAAAAAAATAAAAAAATCAATTCTAAAACCACTAAATCAACCCTTGCTTTCTTTCCGATTCACATGCTGACCAACCTCTCTTTCAGTTTTTCTTGATTTTAAGATCACAGATTACTTAATCATCATGTGACTAAGCATCTCATTTTGCAAATTTGTTTTATTTCCATTTTCTTGTTACCACCGTCAACTAGTAGCTGGTACATGTTAATTTATAGCATGCAGCAAGCCCGACGACATCTTGGGTTGCGGGTATCTTCATTTTGCGAACAAGAGAACCGCAAAGGGATCATAATGGTTTAACCATGTAGGCCAGGCCCATGAGGGATACTTTGGTTCTTGAACTTTGTAAGGGCTTAGCCCGAGAAGGCGATGATGTTCAGACCATGGACCATAATTGCATCACAGGCCCAATCTATGTTGGATCTGCTGGCAATGGCATGAAGGAATAATTTGGTGGAATCTTGTCAACGTGGACTGGAACCCGGATAAGTCTGTGGGGATGATAAGAATCATTCACAATTAGGGATGGCAACCAAACCCCACCCAACCCAACCCGGTCAACGCGGGTAAAATCCGTGTTGACGGGTTTTGGGTTGGGTTGGATTTGAGTTTAGGTAAACCCGACCCGTGGGTAACCGCCCACACATATAATTAATTTTCTCGGTATATTTAATATTTTAAACAACTAATCTTATTTATGTTTGTGGAGACATGTTTTAATTTTTTCTTTCTAATTGTGTCGAATGAAGTTTGTGTTATCGAGTGGAGAGTGAAGAAACTTAATTGAAAGGAAGAAGCCTTCAATTAATATGTTATTTATGGATAATTTATGATTTACTTCAATTTTCTTGAGTTTTCTAGATTGCGTTGAACAATTTGTATAGTTAATTTGTGATTCGCTTGAATTTTCTAGAATAGTGTTTTAAATATGGATAATTTGTATTGAGAGATTGATATTTGACTTTAATTTTGATAGGAACATGTTATTGTAAATTTTTTTCGACAAAAACCTGTGGGTACCCATGAACCCGCGGATACCCAGCGGGTTGGGTTGGGTTTGAGTTTTTCAAACCCAGTGGGTTTTACCCCGGGTTTTTTTCACGGATAAACCCATGGGTTTGGGTTTGGGTTTGGGTTTGGGTTTGGCAAAACCCAACCCAACCCGACTCATTGCCATCCCTATTCACAATTGCTATTTGCTGGGGATATTTGCCCAAATAACGGCAGCATAAAAAAAAATTCAAAGTACAATACATATTTTGCATTGATCACTCAGGTCAAAAACTGATTTCTGGTACGAAAGCTGAGATTGTCTATGTACTTGGGAGAGATAGGGTGAACCAGTTTTGGAATGACTAGCTTAATCTGTCACAGAGATAGGTTTTTATTTTCGATTGTTTTCATTGCTGTTTGTGTCGTTTTATGGTGATACTCCCTAGCTAGCAAGGGTGATGCTAGCAAAAGCTCTTTTTTGATGAATAAAGAACCCGCTGATTCATAAAAAAAAAATAGTCGTAAAATCGTTATCGACAAAAGCGACTTACTAATAACTAGATTATGGTTCGGCCTCTTGGTCGGGAGAGTTTGATTCTCATGTTGTCATGTATAAGTGTAGGTACATATTTTGTTATGGTTCATGTTGTTGGGGTTTGAAGTAACTATTTAGTTTGGTAAGTTCTTCATTAATAATATAGAAAAGTATTTAATGTATTTGACTAACGAAGTTTTAAAAATGACGAACAACGTCCAACTACACTAACATAAATACATATTTCAAACAAAGGCGTATTGATATAAAAATATCTAAGAAGAACAATGGTAAGAGTTGTTTTACATCATACATGCATAATCAATCTTCAGTTTACGAAAAAATGTTTCTTCTTTTCCATTGACTTTAGTGTATTTAATGATATAATGGAACAAAGTATATTTTTAGAGTGTCCTTAATAAGAAACAAAATAAATCACACACTCATGTTTCGAGTGGCATTTCATATAGAAGTCAATGTGACATTAATGTAGTCGAGGCATGCAGATCTCCAATTGGCAAGTTCAACTAATAGAGCAACACATAAAAAGCTAAATCAAACAGAAAAGAATGCGAAAACTAAAAGCAACATACCTAATATTTTGGGAAAAATCGACAACAATAAAAGTCATTGTAGCTCGTACTCAAGTTAGAAAGACTTTGATTTAACAGTAGGTAAACGATGATATGTAGTGCTTAAGCCTTAAGAGGGAAGATGACACCTTACATTCTTTATCAATATGCATCTTAGTTTCATGTTTCTCAAAAAAATGCATCTTAGTTTCATAAACTTCAGAACAAAAAAGTAGTAATTCAATAATCAATATAAGAATCAATATGTACACAAATCTAATCAAGAGAAGAGGAAGCAAAAAAAATACAATTTGTTGTGTATATATTCTGCTCACGATATTTCATAGTAAAAAATATCATAAAAATTATTAATTGCTAAAAGGGAACGATAAAGAGGAAAATACATCAATTTGAACCTAAAATGAGAGGAACTAATATCCTACACCATCATACAATAATGATATACTATATCCCAAAAAATCATTGAAATAATTTATCTAAACAAAAAGGTATACTAAATTGAATCCAATGTAAAAGTAACGATGAAGATATATATTATATCTACCTAAAGAATAATAAAGTAAGACATGTTTCTTAGAGAACTCTCTCGATAGAACCACTCTATGATAAAAACCATTTCGTCAAACAATTGTATCATATGAGTTTTAACTTAAAAATTTAAGTGCTTATAATTAGCTATTTCAGCTCATAAATGAATTAATTATACCATTTGG